ATGGGGCACTATTCCTTCCCGACACCAATGATGGATCACTATTCCTTCCGGACACCAATGATGGATCACTATTCCTTCCCGACACCAATGATGGAGCACTATTCCTTTCTGACACCAGTGATGGGGCACTATTTCTTCCCGACACCAATGATGGAGCACTATTCCTTCCCGACACCAATGATGGAGCACTATTCCTTCCCGACACCAATGATGGAGCCCTATTCCTTCCCGACACCAATGATGGGGCACTATTTCTTCCCGACACCAATGATGGGGCACTATTCCTTCCTGACACCAATGATGGATCACTATCCCTTCCTCTGACACCACTGATGGAGCACTATTCCTTCCCAACACCAATGATGGAGCACTATTCCTTCCCAACACCAATGATGGATCACTATCCCTTCCTCTGACACCACTGATGGAGCACTATTCCTTCCTGACAGCACTGATGGAGCACTATTCCTTCCTGACAGCACCGATGGAGCACTATTCCTTCCCGACACCAATGATGGGGCACTATTCCTTCCCGACACCAATGATGGGGCACTATTTCTCCCACTGACACCAATGATGGTGCATTATTCTTCTCACCCACAATTACTACAGGGCACTGTTCCTCCCATTGACGCCAATGATGGGGCACTATTACTCCCAAGGATAGCAATCATGGCACAATTCCACTGATGCCAATTACTATTGACATAGCACTACGTCAGTAGTAGGAATAGTATCGGCCAATAGGAAACAGGCGGAGCTAGTGGAGATGTCACCGATAGCTCCACCCAATTGTTTACATTTTGCCGGCATCTATCAGATTTGAAATTGTGCGACGAGTGCGGCGCATGCATTCGGTTCGTCGTGTCTTGTGCAAATTTTTCTTTAAAATATTAAAATTTTCATCTTTTTTGTTGTTGATTCTTTTAACTTTTTTTTCTATTTTGTTCGCTTCCAACGGAGGTACTGAGCCAAAAAGCCCAGCCAAATGTTGCTCAGCAGCATTCGGCTATTCACTCATTGCCGTTCGGCCCCAATGAGCAAAAAGGGCGAACGTCAGCGAGTGAGCTGCCGGAGCTTCTGCTCAGCCGATACAGATGTTGGATCGGCTGAGTCGAACTCCTTCTGCAGTTCGGCGCAGCCGATGTACGGATGAAGTGAATAGCTGAACAGCGTTTTGCTCGCTTCACTACGGCTCGGTTATTCCTTCGGCAGCTAAGTGGATAACCCAGTTAGCTTCCTGCAGAATCAGCTGGTCCCCTGAGCACTGCGACTCTTTTTTCAAGCAGAGTGCTATGAAGTCACCCTTGTGTGTGCTAGTAAGCGGTGTGTCTCTCCACAAACCCAGCAAATCAAGCTACTCCCCCCCAAGCTAGTAGATGGAACAGTTGCTGGAATCTGCATGGTCGTTTGTGATCTTGTACTGGACAGGAAGTTTAGGTAAGCTGAGCTGAATCCCAGTGAATGTTGTGGGTGAATCTGAAACAGGAAGTTGAAGTAAGGAAAACACACAACGTTCTTGTGACTAAAGAAATTTTGAACGGATGACTGGTAGAAAATGTCCCCGAGTAGATGGCAAAGACTGGGGGGCAGTTATGCAAAGAACCTACAAGACTTCATTTCTGCTGAAGGGGCAATACCAGCTTCTCAGTCCCAGGATGTAATGACATCTATTTATACTGTATTTTTCTCTTATAAATCTGCACATGTTCCTCATGTTTTTATTCACCTTCCTCTGTAAGCACTGCGTGAATGGAGATCTAATGTTTGCCTGTTCAAATACGTCATCAATATCCATGGGGTGTACTTACTTTTTCACATAACTGTATACAGTGTATTTATATATATATGGTCTATAAATCACACCACAGGGACAACTGAGATAGAAGCAGGGACAGGGAAATGTATTTGAAGAGGGACTGTCAAATGAGACCTTCCTCCTGGTGGGCAGAGCCACCTGCCATCTTTCAGGGAGCCCAGTGTAGAAAGCTCTTTGCCATATGGCTGTCTATCCTCACTCACATTGGGGTTCTCCCCCTTTCACTGTGCCCAATTCTCATGCTGCTCCCCCTTTCACTGTGCCCACTTCTCGTGCCACTCCCCCTTTCACTGTGCCCACTTCTCGTGCCACTCCCCCTTTTACTGTGCCCACTTCTCGTGCCACTCCCCCTTTCAATGTGCCCACTTCTCATGCTGCTCCCCCTTTCACTGTGCCCACTTCTCGTGCCACTCCCCCTTTCACTGTGCCCACTTCTCGTGCCACTCCCCCTTTCACTGTGCCCACTTCTCGTGCCACTCCCCCTTTCACTGTGCCCACTTCTCGTGCCACTCCCCCTTTCACTGTGCCCACTTCTCGTGCCACTCCCCCTTTCACTGTGCCCACTTCTCGTGCCACTCCCCCTTTCACTGTGCCCACTTCTCGTGCCACTCCCCCTTTCACTGTGCCCACTTCTCGTGCCACTCCCCCTTTCACTGTGCCCACTTCTCGTGCCACTCCCCCTTTCACTGTGCCCACTTCTCGTGCCACTCCCCCTTTCACTGTGCCCACTTCTCGTGCCACTCCCCCTTTCACTGTGCCCACTTCTCGTGCCACTCCCCCTTTCACTGTGCCCACTTCTCGTGCCACTCCCCCTTTCACTGTGCCCACTTCTCGTGCCACTCCCCCTTTCACTGTGCCCACTTCTCGTGCCACTCCCCCTTTCACTGTGCCCACTTCTCGTGCCACTCCCCCTTTCACTGTGCCCACTTCTCGTGCCACTCCCCCTTTCACTGTGCCCACTTCTCGTGCCACTCCCCCTTTCACTGTGCCCACTTCTCGTGCCACTCCCCCTTTCACTGTGCCCACTTCTCGTGCCACTCCCCCTTTCACTGTGCCCACTTCTCGTGCCACTCCCCCTTTCACTGTGCCCACTTCTCGTGCCACTCCCCCTTTCACTGTGCCCACTTCTCGTGCCACTCCCCCTTTCACTGTGCCCACTTCTCGTGCCACTCCCCCTTTCACTGTGCCCACTTCTCGTGCCACTCCCCCTTTCACTGTGCCCACTTCTCGTGCCACTCCCCCTTTCACTGTGCCCACTTCTCGTGCCACTCCCCCTTTCACTGTGCCCACTTCTCGTGCCACTCCCCCTTTCACTGTGCCCACTTCTCGTGCCACTCCCCCTTTCACTGTGCCCACTTCTCGTGCCACTCCCCCTTTCACTGTGCCCACTTCTCGTGCCACTCCCCCTTTCACTGTGCCCACTTCTCGTGCCACTCCCCCTTTCACTGTGCCCACTTCTCGTGCCACTCCCCCTTTCACTGTGCCCACTTCTCGTGCCACTCCCCCTTTCACTGTGCCCACTTCTCGTGCCACTCCCCCTTTCACTGTGCCCACTTCTCGTGCCACTCCCCCTTTCACTGTGCCCACTTCTCGTGCCACTCCCCCTTTCACTGTGCCCACTTCTCGTGCCACTCCCCCTTTCACTGTGCCCACTTCTCGTGCCACTCCCCCTTTCACTGTGCCCACTTCTCGTGCCACTCCCCCTTTCACTGTGCCCACTTCTCGTGCCACTCCCCCTTTCACTGTGCCCACTTCTCGTGCCACTCCCCCTTTCACTGTGCCCACTTCTCGTGCCACTCCCCCTTTCACTGTGCCCACTTCTCGTGCCACTCCCCCTTTCACTGTGCCCACTTCTCGTGCCACTCCCCCTTTCACTGTGCCCACTTCTCGTGCCACTCCCCCTTTCACTGTGCCCACTTCTCGTGCCACTCCCCCTTTCACTGTGCCCACTTCTCGTGCCACTCCCCCTTTCACTGTGCCCACTTCTCGTGCCACTCCCCCTTTCACTGTGCCCACTTCTCGTGCCACTCCCCCTTTCACTGTGCCCACTTCTCGTGCCACTCCCCCTTTCACTGTGCCCACTTCTCGTGCCACTCCCCCTTTCACTGTGCCCACTTCTCGTGCCACTCCCCCTTTCACTGTGCCCACTTCTCGTGCCACTCCCCCTTTCACTGTGCCCACTTCTCGTGCCACTCCCCCTTTCACTGTGCCCACTTCTCGTGCCACTCCCCCTTTCACTGTGCCCACTTCTCGTGCCACTCCCCCTTTCACTGTGCCCACTTCTCGTGCCACTCCCCCTTTCACTGTGCCCACTTCTCGTGCCACTCCCCCTTTCACTGTGCCCACTTCTCGTGCCACTCCCCCTTTCACTGTGCCCACTTCTCGTGCCACTCCCCCTTTCACTGTGCCCACTTCTCGTGCCACTCCCCCTTTCACTGTGCCCACTTCTCGTGCCACTCCCCCTTTCACTGTGCCCACTTCTCGTGCCACTCCCCCTTTCACTGTGCCCACTTCTCATGCTGCTCCCCCTTTCACTGTGCCCAATTCTCATGCAGCTCCCCCTTTCGTTGCGCCCACTTCTCATGCTGCTCCACTTCTCATGCTGCTCCCCTTTCGCTGCGCCCACTTCTCATGCTGCTCCCCTTTCACTGTGCACTTCTCATACTGCTCCCCCTTTCACTGCGCACACTTCTCATGCTGCTCCCCCTTTCACTGCGCACACTTCTCATGCTGCTCCCCCTTTCACTGTGCACACTTCTCATGCTGCTCCCCTTTTCACTGCGCACACTTCTCATGCTGCTCGCCCTTTCACTGTGCACACTTTAATGCTGCTCCCCCTTTCACTGTGCCCAATTCTCATGCTGCTCCCCCTTTCACTGTGCCCAATTCTCATGCTGCTCCCTTTCGCTGTGCCCACTTCTCATGCAGCTCCCCCTTTCGCTGCGCCCACTTCTCATGCTGCTCCCTTTCACTGTGCACACTTCTCATGCTGCTCCCCTTTCGCTGTACACTTCTCATACTGCTCCCCCTTTCACTGCGCCCACTTCTCATGCTGCTCCCCTTTCGCTGTGCACTTCTCATGCTGCTCCCCCTTTCACTGCGCCCAATTCTTACAGATACAAGAGACACAATTTAATGCAGTTCTGTATTCATAATGAAATGTATCTAAATAAAACTCAAGCAGTATAAGTATCCGCATTCCCTATCAGCATGTTGCAGTCTCCGCACAGCTGAGCTTGGAATGGGAGAAGGAGAAACAGCACCGGGAACCAATCAGTTGTGCTCATGTGCTAGCAAGAAACATGTTGATAGGAGGGAGAGAGTGACTGAGAAATAGGCTCATTAGTCTGCTGCTTCCCATGTCAATGTCCAATCACAGGTCAGGGGAGGGACAAGACCTGCAAGTGCTACTTAACTGCAGCAGAGAAAAATCAGGTCTCTCAGGTGCTGCGTTGAAGAACTGTGTAAATCTCAGAACTGGATGGACAGAGGCCCCCAAATATATATTTTAGATGTGAATTTAGATGTTTGGGGTTCAGCTTTGAGATGAAAAATATTATAAATCCGCCCGAGATGGTGGGAGCCCCTCCAAAGCATGCAGCAGACGTGCATAGCTGGGAACTCGGCGATCTCAGTTTTTGTCCGTCACTTAAAAGGTGAACTACGAGGCGAGTGATTTTCACTCATAGTTCGAGCCGACCTGTGACAATGAAACGGTCACAGGTCGGCTCAATGGATCAGGAAGTGAGAGAACACATACCGTCACTCGCTCACTTCTCTATCCTGTCCCTGCAGAGCCATGACCGTCACTCACGGCTCCCTGCAGGGATCCCCCCCCCCCCCCCCCAAAAATTGGGTAATAATAAATGTTTTATCATTTAATATAGGGGAAACTGTTTTTTTTTTTTATTTCGGTGATTTTTCCTTAATATAGTAAAAAAATAAAACCCCCCAGTGGTGAATAAATACCACCAAAAGAAAGCTCTATCTGTCCCCAAAAAAGGGTATAAAATTCATTTCAGTACAGCGCTGCATGACGGAATAAATGTCAGTTAAAAGTACCGCAGCGCTGAATACTGAAAAATGGCCTGGATGGGAAGGGGGTTTAACACCGCGGATGTCAACTGGTTAAGCCACCACGAGGTGCAGAAATGAACTTCCATCCAATGAATAACATACCTCACCTCCATCACAACCTGAGAAATGGTCATATTGACGGGCTTGTGTTCCATAAAATAGCACTGTTTCCTTTATTTACATTCTCCAAAACTGCACCAGCATTGGACAAGACCCAAGTAAAGAAAACAGGGGATGCTGGGTAATGGGAGGGATGGAAAGGGTCCAGGATAAGGGAAGCTGAGAATAGGGGGGACTAGCTGGGTGAAGGGTTCAGGAAAGGCAGAGGGAGATGTCCAGTCACCACACGACACAGGAGGAAAGAATCCGGCCACAGCCCAGTCAGAGGCCAGGAAGATGGTGGATGTCTGTAGCCAGGAGGGGACAACCGCCAATCTCACATAGCACAAGATGGATTCCGAGTTCCCTCTTTCAGCCTTGGATGGACGAGCTCCTTCTGTTTTCGGACACCGCAGTCCACTGCCATCATAGATGAAGTTAGCTGTGGGGCTTTTCAATGAGATATCAAAAAGAACGTTATTTTCTTCTAGAAGCTTTGCTGGTTTAGACGTTTGGTTCGATTTCGAGGTCATTTCCACGTTGTCACCGTACTGACAGCCACTTCAGCTCATAAGGGAAGATGAAGGATGTGATTTGCTTTTGTATGAACGGTCATCACCTCGGACTGTCAGCCCATCTCCTTCCACTGCTTGTAGAAATCTAGAACGTTCTTGATCTCAATGCTGGAGCTGGCGGCGACCTGCAGGGCAGACTGAGACAACAGAAAAATGTTACAACGTGAACCTTTCATATCTTTTATATAGAACCTGCCAGACCTCAAACCTCCACTCTGCTCTGTACAGTTAAGATAGTTTTCTCAGATCTAAAACCTGCAGATCTAGAAGCTAAAATTGTGCTTCTCTATCATCCATTGAGGGACACAGCTCTGATGAGATTACGTAGTGTAGGGTTATACTGCTGCCTACAGGAGAAATGGACACTAGCAAAAAAAAAAACTGAAGGCCTGCCCCTTTTAAGTTATAACTCCTCCCTCTCACACATACCAGCTTGGGGTCCGGCTTCTGTTTAGCCCAAGGACATTTCTCTCCATTGTTTAGATGTCGTGAAGGCTCCCAGGATTCACCTTTCGGTCTCGGCTTCGTTTAGACAAACAGACTCCCCGTTTGGTATTCCAGAAAGTCCTAAGAAAGGTTGTCTGGCTTCCTCTATTTCTACCTGGAGTCGTCTGCAGGATAAAAAGTCTCCCTTTCCTGTTAACAGCCCATTCCACTACAGCAGTGGGTACGTCTTGGCCATTTCTTCATCCAGCTATTGTGACCCGGTCACTCTTTGTGAGGCTGCGGCCTGGTCTTCTGTTCACACATTCTCCAAGTTTTACAAGGTTTGTTTTTCTGCCTCCAATGAAGCTAGTTTGGGTAGAGAAGCTCCTCGGGCAAAAAAAGTTTGATGCTCCTGTTGGGCTGGCTCACCTAGCTGTCATGTGGACCTACACTTCTGTTTGAACATCCCTACATTGCTAAATCTCATGAGAGCGGTGTCCCTCAATGGACAATAGAGAAAGCAGGATTTCGGTACTCACCGTCAAGTCCTTTCCTTCGAGCACGTTAGTAGATAAATGTCACCAGCACACTAAGGGGATTTGAAATCCAAAGCGATCGTTGATTAAAAGGTCAGGTCATCAGAACAAGCGCTTTCGGGGCCGCACAGGGTCCCCTTCATCAGGCCAAGTCTCTTTTATTGGGGTCCTCCGGTAAGGAGTGCGACACGGCAACGTTACGTTTGTGCCTTCGAGACCAGACACAACGTTCTCTTTTCTACACCCTTCAGACAGACCTTCAGTTTTTTTGCCTAATGTCCATTTCTGCAGTAGGCAGCAGTATAACCCTACCTTGCTTAATGTCCTCGGAGCCGTGTCCCTCAGTGGACTTCGGTGGAAGGATTTTAGGATCAGTACAAAAATCCTATTTTAAATATATACAAACTAAACCAGAGATGTGAACAAAATGGACCTACGAGCCGAGAGCTCTCCTGGACTTTCTAGAAGCAAAAATTGGATCAAATTTTGGATCCATAGGGCGGCCATTGTTGTTCCGATTAGACAAGCAAGAACCTTTTCTGATTTAGGGCAGGAACATTTCATTTCCTTGCGTTCCCTCTAGAGAAGAGATCCATGGAGCGCTCTCAGCTACCCATCTTCTCTTCAGGGTGACAGATGGGATCTAACCAAAATTGTAACACCAGCGTTGTGAAGTCTACCTCATATTTTTTTTTTAAAGACTTTAAGGGCTTGTTTACACCATAAACAGTGCGTTCCAGAGCGATCAGCTGTTGGAACGCACTGTATTGCGTCCCGGCTGTCTTCCTGCGTTCAGGGGCTTGGCGGTGCATTGAAGTCAATGGTACCGCAGCCACGCCCCCTGCCCGCAGTGCGATCACCGGAAACCCATGGCAGAACAGTCCAGTTCATGCATTTTCTCAGATCGCACTGGAACGGAACGCAGGCACTGATGTGCCACACGTTCTGGTGCGGGCGAGGGGTGTGGCTGCGGTGTCATTGACTTCAAACATAACTGTAGATAACCGCCGCACTCCTTACCGAATGCCCCTTGTGCTGAAGCGACTGGATGGCACCGCACATCACAGTATACATCAGAAATGTCACCAGCACACCAATGGATGATGTCCAAAATAAAGCGTAGTTTATTCACGCCTATTGTCACATCAAAAATGCAACGTTTCGAGGCAATGCAGGGTCCCCCTCATCAGGCTTAACATGACACTTTCATCATTCGTCGTGTTAAGCCTGATGAAGGGGACCCTGCGTGGCCTCGAAACGTTGTGACAATAGGCGTAAATGAACAACGCTTTATTTTGGACATCATCCATTGGTGTGCTGGTGACATTTCTGATGTATACAGTCATTGACTTCAATGCACCCCCATGCCCCCCTCCCGCCCCGGAATGCAGGAAGCCAGCTGGGATGCGATACAATGCGTTCCAGCAGCTGACCGCTCTGGAACGTACTGTTTATGGTGTGGACCGGCCCTCAGGGTACATTCACAGCTATACATTTCACTGTTAAGGTGTAATACGTATCAGCAATCATTTCACTATGAACAACGCACAGAAACAGACAAAGAATAAATATGCGCATGGCCCTTCCATACACACCTGCATGGCAGAGGAGAAACATTCGGGTTCCTCTATCTGAAAACCGGTGATAATGGTGACCATGCCAGCCGTCTCCTCTTCGTTGCTTCCCTGTGAAACAGTCAACTGCTTGCAGCTATCCAGGATCTTGTAGAGATGCCTGTAGGGTATAGTGAAGCCGTGTCAGCACTGGTACCAGAACACCGATCACACTGGGACTTGTCTGTGAACAAGCAGTGTGGCTTTACTCTAAAACTATAGCAGGCTCTGGGCTTCAAAGTTGAAGTGATCTAGGTGGGTGTACAGCCGCCCGATCACTTCTACAGGGTGGTGAGGTCCTTGAAAAATGGGTCACCAATAATCAGGGTGTCAAAAATATGTTCAGGAAGATGCTGATTGTCTGGAAGTGTGTAGAGTTTAGGAAAACGCTCTGTTCTATATCTATAGCCCAATCACCATGAGGCCATGAAGCCCGGGACAGGTATTCATTGCTTGAGCACTAACAGCATTACATTTGTCATACGTTCCATGATCAGCGATCGGATTAAAGTGTACCTGTGCCCAGATTATGGGTTAATGTATTCTACACATTCTTAAAAAGGCAGGAAGTTAGCTTTAAAGAGACCCTGTTACCAACGTATAATGCGGGTCAAAGCAATCAAGTACTTTAAATGCTATACTATTTCCAAAAATGATTTTTAGTCAACTTGCTAGAATATGTGGCTACTCCACAAAGAATTCATTCCCTAGCACTCAGTTGTCACAGCCCTCTCCTTTCCGAGAGTGTCAATTATCTTGTGCTGGCCCAGCTCCTGCACCCCTCCTCTCGCCTCCCTACATTACCTTTTATGCAGCACCCAGAGGAAGAGCGAAGAGGAATACTAAGTGACAGTTCTGAGCCTGCGGACATCAAATCCAAGGGGGCAGCACCTAGCTACATTCTCAGCCCTTATGGATGTCTATGCAAGCGATGCATTTACAGGTGAATAATACGTGTAAACATGTTAAATGCACAAAAAAACATCTTCTGGGAAGGGTTTTGTTGAGGAATGGTCTAGTGACAGGGTCTCTTTAAAACAAGCCCTCACTGACCATTCTAGCTGCGTGCACTATGATGTAATTCATTCTCAAAGATCACAAAGTTTCTAGGTCATAACTAACGACTTAGAACTGGAGTAGGCAACCTCGGCACTCCAGCTATGGGAAAACTACAACTCTCATGAGGCACGGCAAGACTGAGAGCCACAGGCAAGACACTACTCTTAGGAAGAGGCAAGATGAAACTTGGATTTCTCCCTACACAGCTGGAGTGCTGAGGCTCTGACGTCTGCTGTGTGCTTACATTATAGGGCTCTCGCAGCAAATAAGGGGACGGGAGCTGTGATTTCAGCGTCTCTGTTGTAGCCTTTGAAAATGAATTTCTCTACAATGCCTACAGCAGGGCTGGCCAAACTGCGGTCCTCCAGCTGCGGTGGAACTACGAATCCCATGAGGCTTTGCAAGATTCTCACAGCCACGACTCCCGGAGAGAGATGCTTCATGGGATTGGTAGTTTCACCACAGCTGGAGGGCCGGAGTTTGGCCATCCCTGGCCTACAGCTGCAGGTGGGGCTTGTTTTAAAGCCATTATACTACTTGCCCAGAATATATAAACGCATTAATGTGCGTAGTCTGAGCACAGGATCACTTTCAGGTTACCAAGTTGCTTGGGATTATTTTCCTGACTCTCATTTATACTGAGGAAGCCACTTGGCGGATGAACAATAAAATGTCTTCAACATTAATACACAAGTCCTGCTGAATGTGACTGGCTACTACAAAGCAATGCTGGGACTTTTAGTTCCAGTGTTGGCAACCTGATGGATGTACAGAGTACGAAGACTTTATATATTAAAGGCCAATAAATGCAGAAAACATGGCTGAAGTGATGAGTTTGTACCCCAGGAGAGCGGTGGTCTTCTTACCAGGCGTCAACGTCCTGTCGCTTTAATTTATTTCGCTCAAAACTCTTCCCGGCTTCCTTCTGGCAGCGGATATACCTGAAAAACACAGAGATTCCCATAACTGCCGACCCTTATGTCACATGGACCCCTGGCCACACACTGATCACCACTTACCGATTTCCCTTTTTAAACTCCGCCTCCAAGTATCGGATCCCGTCTCGGGCCCCGGGGTTCTCCTTCTTTACAAAGTCTAGTCCATCAATAACTGAATTAGGGAAGAAGCCATGATTACTGCGGGTGATTCCTATCATACCGGTATATAGAGAATTCTACGTGTACTCTCAGAGAGAACAATTACAGTTCCCGAATTCCTCACTTCTTCCCGGGAGCACAAATGTCCAATAAACTCCCGCTCCCTACTTCCTCATACCTGACTGCGGGATGATAATGATGAAACGCCCGCTGTTTGCCAGATGCCGGATGACGCCCAGATGTTGGCAGAGGGCCTGTGTGTCTGGGATGAGGTACGGAGACATGGCCGACTGAGATTTGGGCTGCTGGAGGGTGCCCTCCAACTGCGACACTTCCAACTGCAAATAGATAAAACCAGGTTAGTGGCGGGGGTCATCAGGACAAATAGAGAGAGTGAAGCGCCCCAGCAGGAGCAGGCTGCAATAAAAAAACCTGACAGGGGATGTAACACTTCTGTACTCCATCCAAAACAAACAGGTCTATTCCCTAAAGGGTTTGGAGAAGTGAACAATCTAGGCCAAAATAACTGAACTGGAAAGTGAGCTGACTTGGAGAATGTTTCCAAATCAGCTACTTTGGCCTAGATTGTTCCCTTCTCCAAACCCTTTAGGGAATAGACCTGTACAACTTTAGAGTTTACATACACTATTACCCCTCGGCGCCCGCCCATTGTAAAAATATGGGCTGAAGGCAGATGCTTCCTGGCAGGTGGACATACATGTATGTCCTCCTTTTTTTTCTGCTTGCGCGCATGTGAGAGCAGAATCTCGTCAGGATTGCAAACAGCCGTTACATACAAGCATTCGGCTGGCTCTACAGCCGGCCGATCGCTTGTATGACCATGCTGGTGAAACAGATCTCTGCTTCATCAGCTTCTTTGGGGGTCCCAGGGTGACATTAAGGGGTCTTAGGGACCCCTGATGTCGCTGTAAAGAGGACCCGTCATTGTATATTGGCTATCACATAGGGGCAATAAAGTGAAGTGTAAACAACAACAAAAAATTATATTAACTAATATTATATTAAAATATATTATATATTAATATACATAATTAAATAATATTTATTCATATTAAAAATAAATAGAAAAACACCCAAAGTCCCCCGCGTGCACGCACTTATAAACGTAAATACGTGTCTGGTGCGCCTATGTGCAAAAACGATTTCGCGGGTGCATGCGATTGTAAAGCTTGATCTGTTTGGTGTCTATTTACCCGATGTGCCCCCGTCTTTTATCAAAAAAATTGGGTAATAAATGTTTTATAACAAAGTAGGGAAAACAAGTTTTTTTTTCAAAATTTTCAGTACTTTCTTCCTTATGTAGTAAATTAAATACCACCAAAAGAAAGCTCTTTCTGTCCCAAAAAAATGGTATAAATTTCAGTACAGCGTTGAATGACGGAATAAATGTCAAAGTATCGCAGAACTGAATACTGAAAATGGCCTGGCCGGGAAGGGGGTGTAACACCGCGGTCAGCAAGTGGTTAATACAGAGAAGTGTAGCCACGGTTCTAGGAAGTGTCGGTGGACAGTGCTGCCCTCCACTGGTAAGTGAAGGGAAAGACACCCAGAAATGGGTCACCATACAGCGTGTGTACCTGGAGTCTTAGCTGGGCCATGTCTCTCATGAGTCTGTTCCGGCGAGCTTCTTCCTGCGCCTGGAGGAAAGAACCAACACAACATATAAGCCGCCACATCCAGAAACACCGCACAGGACCCTCATTTCCCAGCAGAAGTGACAGTTCTCAGTAGCTGCCATTTGTCTGGACATAGCCCGTTTCTCAGACAGCTGGGATGTCATGACAAGGAACCTGCAGGGCCCTGACCTCATCACAGCTGTCACCTGGGATCGGGTCCAAATACAAATCACAACATCTCAAGCCATGCTGGGACTTACAGTGCTCAAAGGGAAAGTCCAGGGAGACTGCCTGCAGCAGACAGATGACAGCCTGATCCCTGGGGGAGAGGTAACTGAGGAAAGGCTTCTCCCTGCCTGCAGCAGACAGATCACAGCCTGATCACTGGGGGAGAGGTAACTGAGGAAAGGCTTCTCCCTGCCTGCAGCAGACAGATGACAGCCTGATCACTGGGGGAGAGGTAACTGAGGAGAGGCTTCTCCCTGCCTGCAGCAGACTGATGACAGCCTGATCACTGGGGGAGAGGTAACTGAGGAGAGGCTTCTCCCTGCCTGCAGCAGACTGATGACAGCCTAATCACTGGGGGAGGGTAACTGAGGAGAGGCTTCTCCCTGCCTGCAGCAGACAAATCACAGCCTGATCCCTGGGGGAGAGGAAACTAAGGAAAGGCTTCTCCCTGCCTGCAGCAGACTGATGACATCATTTTAGCCCAGGCAAAGTCACTGACTGGAGCTCAAGAACGGCTTTTTAAATATAAAAGATGCATGTCTGCCCTGAATGGGTAAAGTGAATAAAAAACTCTTCAATGCATTGTTACCAGGATCTAATCTGCCACGGAGAGAACACTAAAGGCGCACGGGCCTAAAGCCGGCTTTACATTTCAAATAGAAAAACTTTATAACTGACTGAACAAAGCACGGCATGTGACACCCGTGCATTTCCTCGCACCATTATGCTCAGCACTGCGCTATAGGTGCTCATTAATAGACACGGACACGTTCTGGGGACTCCGCACCCACAGGGGGGATGTAGGAAGCAACGAGGATACCCACCATCCGGAACTGAGCCTGGGCCTGGTGGAGGATGTTGTCCTGCTGGGACTCGGCGATACTGGTGAATATGGCCAGCTCCGGGTTGTATTGTAGGACCTTCCCCTGCAGATGGGTGAGGAAATGGCCGTAACTTCGGATGTAGCAGCTTCGCACGATGGACTGCGGAGAGAAAACAGCCATTGTTAGAGGACAGTATGTAAGAGGAGGACTCGGTCCTTATTATTATTTATGGACTCATCTTTCCAGAATGATCTAAATCGATGGTTTTTGATTTCTTAGGCTGGATTCCCGCCACTGTCATTGAATCTAGCACACATGGGCGGGTTCTGAATGTACTCGAGTACATGTGCACTGACATCAGGTTTTTTGAATACACTGTGTTGATGTGCGGGATATGTCTCTGTACACAGCAAAAGCCAAAATACCGTCATAGAATTGTAGAACTCACCGATGAAATCCATCAAGTGGCATAGGAAGCCGGCTTCACTTGTTGCTAGGCAGCCTGGCACGTAATGACCCGCCTCCCGATTGGCTCGGAAGCCAGGCTGCCTAGGAACAAGTGAAGCCAGCTTCCTAGCCAATCAAGAAGCCGGACGGCACCTCATGACCCGCCTGATTGGCCAGGAAGCCGGCTTCACTTGTGCCTAGGCAGCCTGGTTTCCTGATCAATCAGGAAGCTGGACGGCACCTCATGACCCGCCTGATTGATCAGGAAGCCTCGGCAAGTGAAGCCGGTGTTCTTCCGATAGAACACCGGCGCTCTATAGAAAGGTCCGACTTGTCGACTTCTCCGACTGGTGTCGTCACATCCGGTGACTGCCAGTAGGAGATCTACAGCAGATGGAGCTAGTGCGCATGCCCATGGAATCCTTTTTGAAATCTCTAACTATTGCCACTGCGCCTGCGTGGCGCCGTCGAATTCTATGACCACCCTCGGCACTGCGCGGCTATTGGCTTCTTGAACGTAGGAAAAATATTTGTACTAGGTTATAGAATCCGATGAGCCGATAGTCACAGTTGCCATTGCGCCTGCGCGGCTATCGGTTCATCGGCCCCTATAACCTACGGCAGATATAACTTTGGACTAGGTTATAGAATCTGATGAGCTGATCGTCACAGTTGCCATTGCGCCTGCGCGGCTATTGGCTCCTATAACCTACGGCAGATATAACTTTGTACTAGGTTATAGAATCCGATGAGCCGATAGTCACAGTTGCCATTGCGCCTGCGCAGCTATCGGTTCATCGGCCCCTATAACCTACGACGGATATAAGTTTGTACTAGGTTATAGAATCCGATGAGCTCATCGTCACACTTGCCATTGCGCCTGCGCGGCTATCGGCTCCTATAACCTACGGCAGATATAACTTTGTACTAGGCTATAGAATCTGATGGTCACAGTTGCCATTACGCCTGTGCAGCTATTGGCTCCTATAACCTACGGCAGATATAACTTTGTACTAGGCTATAGAATCCGATGAGCCAATAGCCGCGCAGGCGCAGTGTCAATAGTTAGATAATTCGGCAATGATTCCATGGCCATGCGCACTAGCTCCATCTGCTGTAGATCTCCTACTGACAGTCACCGGATGTGACATCACCAGTCGGAGAGCTCGACAGGTTGGAGCTTTCGATAGAACACCGGCTTCCCAGGCAATCAGGAACCTGGGCGACAGGTCATGATCCGCCGCCTGACTTCCAGATAATCGGGGCACACGGCTCTGGTATGGCTATTCAGTATCGGCAGGTACCGAAAAAAGTATCGGTACTCATACTTGATACCGAAAAAAAACAGTATCAGTGCATCCCTAGCTTTACGAATCAGGATTTTTCTGCAGGACCGCTAAACAAATCTTCATAAATGAGCTTTTCTGTACCTCCTCCAGCACCGTGAGATCCGGCCTCTCCTTCTCAAAGTTGAACTTGCGGTGTGCGGCCTTCAGCGGCGGCAGGTTCCTCAGGGCGGCATCCTCCGGGAGCAGCAGGTGGATGTTCATGTCTGCCTGCTCGGATCCCTGCAGCAAGTGCTGGACCTCACTGCACAGGGAGATTCCTGACACAGGGAGAGAACACACAGCCTGGAATCAAGATGGAGTCACTCATGCTCACCCACCGTAAGATTTAGAGGACCTCAACCATGACAAGTGGCTATGCTGGAAACAG